CCCCGCCTTGGTCAAGTAGCTGAGTTAATTGTCATGAAGATTAGTGTGATGTCGAAATAAGTACTAATGGTCAAATTATAAGTGAAAAAGTCTAAGAATAGGTTTTGGTTTGGGCCTGAAAGGGTTAATTAAGTTTTTTTCACGGGTTGTTAAAGACCCCCAACCCCTGCCTTCAGGAGTCACATTGACACCCCGCCACAGGGCAGCTCTGCCTCTATTGACATGTTACTGGTCAGAGCACAATAGCCCTCTGTATCTGCAAATCATGGCTAAAATCATCTCAAGGAAAAAAAAAGTTTGAAAGCTTTAACGTTAGACGAAAGCACGAGAGCTGCAGTGTGCAGCTCAAAAACCCGGAGTCAGCAACTTCTATTGATTACAAACTAACCTTTAAAGTGACTCTGAGAGTGTGTGGTTAGCATTTAAATTTAAACATGTCATGAGTTGATTTGTGTTACTGAATACCAACTCCGAAGGAGTAACATTCACATCGCATTTTTTTTTCTAATTCCCTTAAGCAGCTAAAGTATTTCATGAAATGTCAATAGGGCAGAAAGAAAAAAAATAGGGGGGGCATTGATGCTGGGCCTTGTAGTTTTCTTTCCCATGCAAATATTCACCCCCCAAAGAAAAGTGTGGAGAGTGCAACACAATAATTAGTCCTTTGTCTAACTTTCCCAAGTGCCAGAGAAAGACAGATTAATCAAATATACAGCAGTGTTGGTTTTTGGAGTGGGGTCTTGCTTGCTGTGTGGGTCATAAATTAGGCAGAATAAATACTGCAATGTGTTTGCAGTGGGCCTGCTACGTCAGAGCCACTGGAAGGTTGGTGGGAGGAGAGCGGAGGGTTTCTTGCTAATGATAGTCACGTCTGGGTCTGTCTGGTTGCTAAGAGCAACCAGACATGATGTAACACCAGGATGAACTTGAACTTGGGGGACTTGAAAGGAGAACAATAGACCAGAGCAATCAATAAAGCCTATTTCAGTGAAGGATTACAGAGCTGCTCTGGGTAACCTTGTCAGCAAGGCACACACTGAATAGTAAGATGTGTGAAGAAACTTTTTTTTTCCGCTTTGCTTTTTAGAGAAGTGCAGAGGCACTGCAGATTTTTGTAGCTGAGGTTGTGTCCAGAAACTGTGGTCCGGAAAACTACTCCCCCTGCTGACTCCCTGCTTCCTGGCGTTTGCTAGGTAGTGTCAGACTGAAGAAGTCTGGAATCTCACAACCAACTTAACAAGTGTGAGAACAGAGATCGTAAGCTTTATTCCCTGCACCAGTAGTTTGAGACTGTTGTCGGAGGGAGAACACGGCTCTGTGGCGGGCCGGAGTCTGCTCTCGGGAGAGACCTGCTCAGATGCAGCCTGGAGTGTCCTCTCCGTCCTTCTGTCCAGTGAGTCTGTGGCCGCAAGTGTTTGCCAGGATGGTGGCCTTTCAGGTCACAAGAGGCTTTACTGTGTTCCTCAGAGCATGTGGTTTCAGAATCACCTCTAAGAAGAGCGTGAGGATGAGTGGTTCTCGGTTTGGGCTTAGGTGTTGTCAGCTCCTCTGGAGATCAAAGGTAGCTTGTGTGACTGGGGAATCTTACACGACTTCCATGTAACCGTCATCCCACCCTTTAGCTCTCGATCAAACCAGTCCTTGCTTTATCGCAGTGAATCTTAGACACAGATGAGCCGTCATCTGACTGAATCAACCCAAACCCTTTCTGATACTGTCAACTCAGAGAATTCAGAAGCATGCACTTTTGCTAGAAGTTGATGATTTTTCTGTGAATAATGATAAATGCGGTGAATTTGGCAGGATATCACTAGAGAAAAGTTGGCAAAAGTCGTTGGCTTTTTTATTTCACTGAGGCACTGACTCTGGTGGTGGACCATAGTGGTCACTTTGTTTAGCTCACAGAGAACGGAATTCTGTCGTATGAAGCAAGGCCCAAAGCTGGTCAGCTAAGGACTTGTAGAAGGAGAGGGCGGCTGGTAGCGGCCCCAGCAGGCCCGCGGGGGCTCTAGGACATGCTGAGCCAGCAGGAGCAGGGACAGCAGCTGGGCAGTGGGCTTGTTTTGTCCCTTCACACATCACAGTAGTGTAACAGGGTACAGTCTCAATACCACTCGATGATTATGTGTCATTTTTGAAAATATTATTTTAGGAGTATTGACCTGAAAGGAGTGTTTTACATCGTAGAGTCTGCCTCGTGCACAGATAAGGAAATTGAGTGACAGAGAGATGCTGTGGCTTGTCCAGAATGACCAGCGCTCTTTCCCCTTCTCCTCCACTTACCCTGTGTCATTGTCCACCGTCTGTGCCTGTCGAGAGGGCACTGCAGCAGCATCTCAGAGCCTCCATCCGCTGGAGAGGAGACGCTGTGAAGCAGTGAGAGCTCTGCCACCCCTCGCCTGTTCTCCATCCGCTCAGCTCTTCTTGATTGAGAACCTTCTGTCCCAGGCGCTGTGCTTGGCACTGAGGATTCAGTGAGAAACAAAGATGATCAAGCTTCCTGCCCCCGTAGCTGCCCCCACCAGACTGCCAATCCCGTATATGTATTTCAAGTGGACGTGAATGCTGTATTTTGTAAGACACACTCAGAATGTTAATATCGTTCTGAGGTTCTTCAAACTCCAACAAAGACATTGAATTTCCGTTTCAGAGAAGTCAGATCACTTTCAGTGTCTCAAGATTTACTGTTCGTCATTCCTTTATTTTTCCCACTGAATCCCCCCTTCATCCTGATTTCGTGGTTGGAAGGGCAACTTCTAAAATACATTTTTTTTCCAAATTGTACCTCTAATTGCACTTTTCCTTTTGTCTTCCAGTCCTGGTACCTGGGATAAAAGTTGCAGCGTCCCACCGTCCACCAGACAGACCACCTGACCCCTTCTCAACTCTGTAACACGGACGCATCCTCAGCTCAGCGTGGTTACAACCTCACTGTCAGTGGGAGGGGAGAGTCAGATCGACTTGTACCTGGAAACAGCGAGCATATGGTCCAACAGCAAAGGCCATCACCTTTTGGGATTTTTTTTAAATACTTTAGGGACTGTTGTAATTTTCTCATATGGTGCTGGAAACGGTTGGGCTCTGTAACAGAAGTGTTTCGGTGGTTGCATGAGCATGAGGTGATGTGGTGAGAGGCGTCTGCCCTGCTCGCTGACGCCCCGTTGTAACACTTTCCTTACGGAGCCCGGCTGTTTCACAGTATTTCATGAATTGACCCACGTAGGTGTGCGCCTCCTCGAGCAATCAGGAGGCGCATGGAGAACTAAATCTTTTGTAGTAGCTGAGATCTGCAATATATAACTTACGGGACAGTCAAAGAGCATGTTTTTCTGTAACATTTGGAAAAAGAAAACGCAGTTATGTCCCTCTCCTGTTTTTTCTCTTAGTTCGGTTCAGCAGTTAGACGTGTAACGGCCCGCGAGGACAGTGACCACTCATGTTGCAGAACAATTCCGAAAACGGCAAACTACTACTACTACTATTCAGTTTTTTAAAAGTTTTGAAATGCTGCACTTACATTTAAAAAAAAAACATTTTTTTCAACAATTTCAACAATGACACACAAATTCATGTGGAAATGGGGAAGATGGTCTGTTTTGACAGAAACTGACAGGAATCAATCAAAACAATCGAATTTTGAATTGAGTAAAGTGCAATTTCATTGGATAGCTAAATATCTTTGTAAGATAGAGATTGTTGAAAATTCTATTTTTGTTTTTCAAGTCCTTCCACCCCAGGACTCTAAATTATTGGGGTAAAAAACAGCCTTGCAAGAAAAAGGGGAGCTATTTTTGCTTTTTATGTTTTTTATTGTTAAACTTGTATCCCTTTACAAACTGAAGGAAAATTTAAAAAAAAAAACAAAAAAACAAATCTAATGGTGCTTTTACCACAATATGTTAATAACTACATTAAATGCTAATTAATTATTTCTGTTATCAAAGCACATAACTAAAATGAAATCATGGTATCTGTTAATTTTATAAGCTAGAAGTCACTATAATGGATAATGCCAATTCTAAAAATTTGTACATGTATTCGGCAACATAGGATTTATTGGTTATCAGACACTTCATTGTACCAGAGATTGTCCAGAAATTTTAAAGACCTTTGCGCCCCTGAACTGGGCTATGGGAAAAAAAAATAGTAATAATAAAAGTGAAACCAATACTGACACAAATGCTGGTACCCATTCAGATCAGGGTACTTGTTAGGGAAAAAAAAGTTTGCACCCCCAAATGTCCTGTATCTTATATAAAAAAACACAAAAAACAGAAAAAAAAAACAAAAAAAGTGCAAGTGATTTTTCTACCAGACAGCGAAGCGCGCCTTTGCTTCCCAGGCACCGACGAGAAGGTCCCTGTGCTATATACGTATATCCACGTCCTGGCGGCAGCCCCGCCGGAGAGAGGCTCTGCATGTTCTAGTGTTAGTCGCTAGTTTTTATATAGTTAACGTAGGATAAAATAGAGTGCATTAAGACACAATATTGTAATCCTTCCTTAGGCACTTGCCTTTAAACTATGTTTCCAGCCCTTCAGAAGGGTTCTACTACTGTCCTATACAATCAAGTAACTGAAATTCTTGGGAAGACACTTTGCTCCTCATCTTTCCCCCGAAACAATGTTGTTTTGTTTTGTTTTTTTTCCTTAATTTGCACGAAAACAAAAATTCCATATCAATGTGCCTTGCCCTGGATAGCGATTATTTGTGGAATTGTTGCACATGCCCCTCTGTTGAAGGGGTTTCCCTGTCGAGCATTTGGAGACACTTTTGTAAATGTGACTTCTATGTCAGCCATCGTCCGTTTCAACACCGAGCACTGAGTAGGAAGGTAGTTGTCCATGGATAGTAGTCTTATTGTCCTCGTGGTCAGTGGCAGTGCTATTCTGAGATCCGTAGATGCTTAGAATATCGGTATTTTGGATGTTGCTGCATTTTACAGTTTGTTTGGAGTCTTCCTTTATTTTCCCCCAAATATATGAAAATATGCAATACCTGCTTATATCGTGTAGAAAAGCTTAGCAATGATTCATTTTTCCTTTATTTCTTTAATTTGACCAAAGTCAGTGCTGCACTTGACGCAGTGTGTTTTGGGTGTTTGTCTTTGTACTTTTTTTGTGATTTTTGAATGCACGTGCGCAGGAAGGGCTCCTCTTAGAGAAGCAGTCAAACTGTGAAGCACTAAGCTGACCCTGCTTCAAGCAATTTTTTTTTTTTACAACTGTTCCTTTCACAAGCAAGCCTTAAAAAAAAAAAAAAGACAACTTCCTTTTTCTTCAGCTCCCACACCCCATTTTTCTTAGCAGACTGCAGTCAATCCGCATTCAATAAAAAGTATGTAATGCCCATTTTTATATGCACGTTTTTAAACTTCCAAGTTCTGAAAATTGTTTACTGGTTATCTCTATTTAAGGAAAAAAAAATAAAATAAAACATTTTGGATTTTCATACGTGTCTGACAAGTGGTTGAGTAGTTGTTGGCGCTGTCTGTCCTGTGGTTGTCAGTGTACGGTGTTGCCTCCTGTAGCCAGCCAGCATCCTTTGCCTTCCCCGTAGCTCTTAGCTGGGCATTACTTTATTATGACATGTGCACTAAGAGAGAAAGAAACAATAGCAGCTTTCAGTGCTTCACAGTGAAGGGAAGAAAGCCTAGACAAACATTTTGTCAGAGCCTTGCGATAAGCCAAGGTATTACCAGTAAATTGGTTGTATATATGATAAAATTGCACCCTTTTTTTTAAAACAAAACAAACTAAGCAATAGTTTGGGCAGCTCTAGTTGTTTTTAGTGAGCATGTTGTAGTCATGACGCAAAGAGAGAGAATAAACTGCCCACTCAGAAGACGTGTGGTTTGTATGTTGTATAGTTTTATTGATTATGCTGATTTATCCTACCCGATTTTATAATGCAGGACTTTTGTATGTTGTTTAAATGAGGAAAATTTCTGTCAAATTAGCCTAGTGAAATTTCTGATTGTTATTACAAAGGCAGCATTCAGAGAATGGCTTTCTTTTCCACCCCCCTCCCCCTTTGGGAACTGGATTTAAGTTTAAAACTTTCCTGTTTCCTTTTTTTTTGTAAGTATTTAAATACAGTTATTTTTTCTCTCAATGGTATAGCATATTCCTATGCTTGAGAAGTATAGGTCTACTGAAAAACCATTGTAAATGGATGTTACAGGTATGCTGTATTTTTGAAGGTATTTTGTTGTATTAAGTTTGATGAAGCTAAAATTAGGGAACTCTGAACAGATTAAGTAGGAAAAAAATGTTTTAAAGGCTTTAAAACATTAGGGAGGCAGTCTAGGTGATAACGGACAGGGGTCAAGTATTAAATACACTAAGTTACGTTTTTGTTCATGTTTCATTGTCCAGAAAGCAGCAGGAAACTAGTCCAGTTGTGATCAAGCAGGAAAAAGGAAACACCAACAGTACGAGTGTTCACCCTTTTAGATGAAAAGCCGAGCAAAGGTGTGCGAGGAAGACTTTGCTGCCTGGGGTGTAGACTGACGGTCTGAGGGCTGTCGGCACATGGAGGCCCAGCCCTGCATTCTGAGACACTTGAGTTTTTTCTCTCCCGTCAAATGACATTAACAATATTGGCAAAGATAAGCCCTTCAAATAACTCTCCATGTTTTTCTTTGGGAACTGACATCAGAGGCACAAACACTAAATCTTGTAATTTTTCTATATGCTTTTTTCTGGCCCGTCCCCCTGCCACTAAAATGCTCCTTTACTGACCACTCTTGGGCAGAGGCCCGCTCCCCAATGCCACTCTGTCCGTCCCAGAGCCTTTTTCTTTCCTTTGCAGTTTGAACTGACTTTTATGTTTCTTCACACCTTGACATGACGGTCACCTAAGGCCAGCTCCTCCCCGCCCCACCCACCCCGCAGTCGGGTGTGGGCACCTGCAGGCTGACCAGGTGTGCTTGCGAAGCTGGCCTTCCCCATTCTCTGACCGTGGAAGTGTAAAGGAACCCAACTTCCCAGTCTTGGCATTCAGTCAGCCCACGGGAATGTGCAAAACCCACCTCAAAAAGTTGGTCTCTCACTTTTCAGACCCTGATCCTCATACGATCTGGATTCTGCAGTTACAGTGTCATAAAATATTGATGACATCTGGAGTAAGAAAAACATTTTTTCCTTGTGAATTTTTGGGGGGAGGGGTTTCCCAGAATGTCATTTAATGTACTTTGCATCAAGTCTCTGGAAAGAGCTTTCTGTCTGTAGTGGTGTTGGTCTCTCTCTCTGTCTTTCATTTGTTCTTCCCGGTAGCAGGCCTCCATAGAACAAATTAAAAACACGAGTGGCATGGTGCTGTAGGAGAGCTTCAGGGCGCCCCGCCGCCCCCTCGAGATCTGTCCCGGACAGTCGCAGAGCACTGCACTGCCCCAACAGAGCTTGCATACAAATCGGCTTCCAAGGCCCATTTTGTCCTGAAGTCAATGCGTGTATTTACTGTTGGACAGTAAACCGGCTCTGCCTTCTCCACGTCCAAGGCTGTGCATTTGTCTAATTAGTGTCGTGTGTGTTTTCCTTTTATTTTTCCCAATAAAAAAGCAGTGGGATGAAAATTGCTTTGATATATAGCAGGTAACATTGAAGCTATTCCATAGCACTTAACTGTAGTGAATACTGTGTCACCAATTCTGAAATCAATTTAATGTTTAATGCAAATCCATTACATGGTGCTATTACAGGCTGACAAAATGATTTACACAAATGTGACAACTTGGGCGCAATTCACTCTGCTTCCCCACAGTGTAAATGCATAGCAGTGTTTATCTGCATGACAACTATGCACTAACCTCTCGGAAGAAAAACTATCACTTTGGTATCTACTTTCCGTTTACTTCAATCCTTGCCTTTTTGGTCATTGTTATAATGCCAGCTTTAGGACAGAAAGAATTATAAGAAAACCAGCATAATACCTGATATATTAAAATGTAGTGCCTGTGAAATCTGTATTATATAGCTCTTCTGAAGTAAGATTTTCTACACCGGTAGCCTTCGCTGTCTGTCAGTCAGGACCTTCTGGTATAGGTGATGTAAAATACCCATACAATATTAGTGCATGCTGTTCCATAGTGCTTAGTGACCTGTATGAACAGTACTCAGACTTATGTTAGTCTTTTTTTCTGCCTTGGTTCTCGTCAGCTAGGTTTAAAGGTATTTCACTGAGAACGCAAATTCTGTCTTTTCTTGATTTGGGCTGTTTTCAGTATTTTGGAGGTATACATTTACTTAAACTCAGTATTACTTGTGTTTTTGTTTTCGTTTTTGTTTTTTGTTTTCTTTTTCCTAGGAGACAAGCATGGGTGTTTGATTTCCGAAATCAGTCCCTGGCAAGACTTTTGTCTCAAAATGGCCGTTTGAATCTCAAGAACTCTGCTACGAAGACACTAGAGAACATTTCCAGTGAGGGGCGTTCTCCTCTACCCTCGCCTGAAGCTAGCTAATCCTGAAGCATTTTCTTAAGGGACAGTGTGCAGCCAGGTACCCATGCTTGATCGTCTTCACGTCAGACTCCCTCATAGTAAAAGAAAAAAATGAAAAAAAATCTGTAAGAAATCACGTGGCTATTTAGTTTCATGCACAGTTGCGATATTTTCTTCAAAAATAAAACTGTACAAACTTTGGGCCCGATTCATAAGAAAAAGAAGTTTGCTATTAACACGGGATTTTTTTAAATATACTTTTTTGGGGTCTAAATTTGAAACTGCTTCCCAAATTAAATGTTTCCTCTCATTTTTTTCCTAAGCCAGCACCCATCTGCCTTTTATGCCCCGAAGGGTTACGTAACCAGATTAGGGGGACGGGGACGTGGGGAGCAGATCCAGAAATGCTCAGACAGATAAGGGGGCTGTGCAGCTGAGACGGGGAGGCAGCTCTGTGGCGGGGGACCTCGCCTGGGGGCTGGCATCACGGGGCTCACATGTGGTCCTTGTGCTGTTTAGTTCAGAACACAGTTTCCGGAAGGTGTCTGGAGCACAGCGCTTATGGTGCAGGTGCCGCCTGCAGTGCCAGCAGAGCACCCTCCCCGGGGAATGGGAACGTCCTCTCTCTGCAGTGCCAGCAATGAAAGGGGCTGTTTTTCCTGCTGTTTTGTGCTTGACTTCTCAAAATGACAGATGCTTTTTTTTTCCCCTTTTGATTCTGTTTGTGTTATTTTTTAATTATATTTTTCATAATAGTCTATAAATTAGCACTTTTTTTTAAACACCTCAACCGAAGGTTACAAGGCCGCTGGCAGCATTGAGATGGAGTTTGAGAGAGCGGCCAGCCCCACCCTTTCTCCCTGGTCTCAGAGCGGCCTCTGCCCCTCCAAGGCGTTGGGCAGGGTCGCCACAGCCTAGAGCCCGATCCTTCCCAGGTCTGGGGGGCCCTGGAGGAGACTTCCAAGGTGGACACGATCCCGTCCCTCCGCCCTGACCCCTTCCCCAGAACAGAGTTTGCCGGGGACTTTTCCCACCCCCGCTGGACACCTGTTCCTCCAGACACCTTGGGTTTTCATTTCAAATTGGGGGGATGGGGTTGAACACTTCCAGTGACGATAAGAGATCCGTTGTGAAACTAAACACCCCGTGTTAATAACTCGGTTTGATGTGTTTTTATGAGCCGGGCCCCCTGTGCCTCTAGTATGCTTGTGTTGACTCTCATAGTTACCTTTTCGTTTTACTGTGTTCTGTGAAAATTTGTAATGGGTTGAGAATCTCTGTGGGCGTCCATTCTTATTCAACTAAATCTCCACAGGTGTTTGCGCTGGTGTGGATTAGTTTAACTCTTGTATTCAACCGTTAGTGCTACCACCTTCTCACATTACAATACGATTACTGGAAGCAAGTACTGCATTTCCTATGCAACAAAAAAGGAAAAATAAAAAATTGCTAATGCTATGGAAGCCGTTGTCGTCATTTGCTTAAACCACGCCTGGGTGTTGTATCTGACAGTGGGCTGGGGAGGACGTTCCGGGCAGAGGGGGCAGCGCGTCCGAGGAGCCCATAGCAGAATGGAGCTTGGCAGCTGTGGGGCTGAAGGAGGCCTGTCTGGGTGAAGAGGAGGAAAGGAGAGGGAAGAGGGTGCAAGACAAAGCTTGACACTCAGGTCAGGCCGTTGCAGGCCTGCAGGCGCATGAGGGCCCTTTGTCCTACCCCCTATGCGTCCTAAACGAGTGTCAGTCAGACGGGGCTGAATCTAGGCCATGATGCAAACAAGTCCAAGATCTCAGTGGCCCACGACAAGAAAGGTTCACGTCTTGTTTTGCAGGTCTGTCCAGGGTCGCCTGGGGCCTCCATGCAGAGTCTCCTCGTTCTAGGACCCAGGGGCATAGGCAGCGCTGCCTGGACGTGCCATCAGTGGGGAAAGGCACGAGACAGCTCACACACACCACGGGCCTTTAACAGTTCCATCTGGAGCTGATGCGCACACTCTGGCCAGAGTGGTCACGTGGCCGCGCTGGGGTCAGCGGGACCAGGAAGGTAATCCTCCCTCAGGGGAGCTGGAGGACGTTACTACAGCCTGGTCTGGGAGGAGGAAAGGTGTGCGGCGTGGAGACGGCAGCGATGGGGGAGCAGGCCTGGTGGTGGGCTGTGAGGGAGAGGAGAGGGCA